TCTCTTTTGATCCAGCACCATTCAAGTGGGGGCAAATGCTGGGAGAGCATGTCCTGAGCCCTCAGAGCAGCCCCTGAAGGTAAGAGTGGGGTGCTTTATTTCTGAGAGCAATTTTGCCTTATGGGCTCACACACGTCACCAAAGCTTCATTTTGCTCCCAGTGAAAGAATCAAAGCAGGCGTGGAGAGCCATAAAATGCCTTCATTTGGCAAAACACAGAGTGGTTTATCTCCAAGTACAACTAGAGGAGCACCCTGTAGCTCTCAGAAGGGTGTATTTGTGCACAGAACAAGAGACCAGAGATTGGCCACGGGGTTTAGGTCCTGATTTAGGACCTGGTACCCTCCTTGTGAGGAGCAGTCCTGGGAGCCAGGCAGTGGTCCACCATTGATGTCTGTTTGGAGCCAACCCCACGTGTGAAGGGCATAGGGACTTGTCCATGAATGCCCAAATCCCCAGGAAAGACTACCACTCTGGTGGTTTTCTGGGATACTGCACAGTGCTTATGGTCCTCCACTCACAGTGTGTTTGCTCCTCGAGCCTCTCCCAGCCGGCAGTGTGAGAGCTTGGCACTGTTTTGGGGATGGGATCCAGGTGACACTGCACATCAGTGTGCACCACGGCTCTGGAGGTGTTTGCTCTCCAAAACTGTGCTGCAGAGCCACCCTCTTCTTGCTGAGCCAAAACCAAGCCAGTGTGTTTTCAGGTCTCAGACAAACGTGCAGTCAGCATCACCAGGTCAGCTCCAAGATGAGGCAGAGGCGCTTTTTTAGATCTGGGTATTAGAGTTAATGAGAGGTTCTGAGTTCTGTTCTTATTGTAGAAGTCAGGGCATGCAGTCAGTCTGTAGCTGAGGTTGGGAAGGGCCATAACACACAAGTGCTGGACTTGGAAAGGAATGGAGACCTTCTGCTGGGAAGAGCACTGAGGAAGCCTGTTAAATGCCCACCAAGTGTGTCAGTTACATTGGGTAATGCTGATGTACTGTATTGTGTGCTGGAATGAAAACTGGACTATGGCTTGACTACAGAAGCCTGTAAACCTGCATTAATAGAAGGCAGATCAAATTTGTCCTTTTCTTCATCCTCTTCTGATGTATTTGCATAATCACAATTCAAAGGTGAGAGACAAATCCTGATCTAACATTAGCTTTTCTGTTTCTTTTGTAAACAGCAGCAAGCTGGGCTCTGAAAACTGGTTTTATGATCTAATAGAGCTGGCACAGTGGGACCCCATCATTTAACAAACTGCTTTGGGCTAAAGTTTGGCCACGAACATGAGGCACAAAGCTAAACCCCTGCAGGTTTTACCTGTTTCGCACCAGAAATCGTGTTTCAGGGTGAAAAGCCATTGGCAAGCATGTCTGTGTGAGGAAGTTATTTTGCTCCTGTGAAGTTCCTGATCTGTGTGTGGAGCTGGGAAGGAGTCTGCTGTGGTACATCAGGTGGGAATGCACAGGTGGGAGGAGATGGCTGGGATGTGGGGGTGGAGAAGGGTGTACCACTGCCCTAGGTGGGTGATGGAGCTGCCTAAATGAGCAGAGACAATTCACACTAATGTCCTGCAAGCTTCCAGCTCTCCAGGTGCTGCTGGAGTTCTACTGGGCAGTGTGTAACTCCAGCTACACGTGCCTGACAGCAAATGGTGTAAAACTGTGAAGTGCCTTGTAGTCCCAGGACATGCCAACTCCTGCAACGGCATCTATGGATATACGTCCATCTGGATCACCTGGAGCATTTTTGAGGCAGCTCCTGTGTGTGCACAAGCCCAGGGCCTGGTGTCAGGATTCATGAGCAGATACAAATCCCACTGCAGGTGGAGGTGTTGCCTTGGCCACTGGTACCTGTTCTCTGGTTGTTGGGGACCGCCGGGTTGCAAAGCAGGGCTCTGGAAGCACAGCCAGTGCTTCCTGTGTTCAGCTCCCACTGGTTGAGCTCTCTGCAGGCTGCAGTGTCAGCCAGAGGTTATTTATTTCCCAAATAGTGTTTAAAAATTTGTGAAATTTGGCTGGTATTGTTTATTAGGAGTTATGAGAATGAAATCCACTTACTGGGCTTTCAGCTGCGGTGGGAGGAGGGTGGTTCAGGGTGTGGGGGAGAAACAACATGGACATCGCTGGGAGATGAGTTAGATGGATTTCTTTTGTTCCAAATTTGAATTTTTTTCTCAAGATGCAATTTACCTCTTCAAGGCCACGAGGTTTTTGCAAAGGATACAAATTGTATGGAATCCCATCTGGAAACGCTGACTGGGCTCAGAGCAGCAGTACCCCAAAACCAGCAGAATCCATAACAGAGAGGGGGTTCTCCTGACTGTTTAGGTGTCTAACAATTGCTGCTTTAAATAGGGTTTATGCAAATGCCATTTGACACAAACTTACATAACTGCTGAATATCTATCATCTCAAATTTTGACATGTAGGTGCTATTTTTCCAGTATATTTTATTTTTGGCAAAAATACAATAGGACATGATTTTCTATCTGTGCCTGCCTCCATCAAAGGTACTTTTCTAAAATGAATGAAGATTTCTGGTAAAGTCCTTTTGACCTGTTTCATCATCAATTTAACACAAGAAATAAAATGCAGCCAAATTGTTCTCGTTTATTTGTGAAGCTGTGATACAAAATGTAGAGGTAGAAAAGCTTTTAAAACTGGAACTGTTTAATGAATGAAACTCCAGTTATTTTCTCTATGGGCTACTGACATACAAGTCAGTAAGAACACAGCAAAATTTTGACTCTTTTAAAGTCTCTATATGGTTTTTGTTTTTTTTCAGTCAAAACTGTTAAAGTTCTTTCCGACAGGGAAGAGTTTCCAGAAATGGAAAGTTGAAGATTCTGAAAGAACTCTTCCTGCAGAGCTACCCTGTTTGTCACATTGATGAACATCCCTGTGCTTGCAAGGGCTCTTGTCTTCCCTGCATGAAAAGTGGATCTTAAAAGCCACGTCCAGACCCTAAATAGGATGGGGGCACACCTGTGCTCTTTCATGTAGGGAAGGCTTTGGGGAGAAGATGCCAGGAACATCAGGTGCTGTGGGAATACCCTGGGAAGCAGAGGAGAAAAGCTTTGTCTCTGCTGGAAAGTGTTTGCCAGTCCATGCTGAGAACTGTGGTGGGTGAGAACAGATGAGACCAGTGCCAGCACTGCTTTGCCAGCACAGGTTGCTTGCCACTGCCCTCTCTGCCTGCAGCATCCCCTCTGCCCCTGTACAACCTGCCAGACACAAGGCAGGAGGAACCTTTACCCGTGTTACTACCCGAGACAGATCGATGATACCTACCTTGACCTGACTTTGCTGTTCTTCAGTAAAAAATGCTCTTGAAATCTCGCTCACACTTTTTTTTTCCAGTGATTTCTTACAACTTGGGCAAGGCCAGGTTGGATGGGGCCCTGAGCAACCTGATCTAGTGGGTGGCAACCTGCCCATGACAGGGGGTTGCAACTAAAAGATCTTTAAGGTCCCTTTTAACCTAAACTGTTCTGTGATTCTATGAATAACCCTCAAGACAAGCAATGCTGGATTCATCCATCAGTGCTCATGGGGACGTGTGTATCTTTCTGGAGTTGATTTTATGGTGCAAAAGTGAAGGTTATCTAGGTTTTGGGGTTTTTTCCTTGCTTTCCATATAAAAGGAGTTCATTATCCACTGGTACCAGTTTGAAGCAGTGGTCCCTATTCACCACCTGCAGTCAGCATGTGCGTGTTACTCCACTGGCTTTAGCATATAAAAAAGTTTTATATAGAAAAGTTTTAGTACTGAGGGAAGCAAAACTAATGGCTGGTGTCTTGCCCGTGACAGCTACAGGGTGTGTTAAATGTTTAAGTGTTCCCTGCTAGATATGAAATATTTTCCTGCTCGTGCAAGAGTCATATGAAAGTGGCTACTCTTCTTTAATAAAAATGCGTATATTTTGCTAGGTTTGGCCAAATGTCCAATAACTTGCAGAAACAAATCTATTTCCTTGGTGAGAAGGAAGGAAAAAGTCCCGTCCTCCCTCCCAAGAAACAGCCATTCCCTTTCTTTTTGACTTTTGTGACCCCAGGTTAAATGTTTAAATTTCATTCTATACACAAAGTTGTGGCAATTTCACACTGTTTCAGTATATAGCTAAACTTTACAGTCTCTCCTGATGAAGTGTTCGGGCTAAATGAAGTAATTAGTGTGTTTGTAGTTTATGTGCAGAAATTAAATGTGTCTACACAGGGCTCCCATGGGCGAGGAGGGGGCGTGGCAGTGCTGAGCCAACCCAACAGAGACCAGCTCCTCCAGCCTGTGTGAATCACACTAAATCCTCCACCAACACTGAGCCAGTAGGGTTATAAAGGGTCTTATCACTTTATTTCTTTTTCTGTTCACATTTAATACCACAGACACAGCTGAGACTCGAAACACTGATGTGATGCCGGGTGCATGTGATGGGTTCATTTACACAGACGGGTCATTAGTGAGCTCACATCTTCACAATCCTTTTGAGATTCCCCAGTGTCTTGTTTCCCTGAGTTGCATGACATCTGCCATCAGATCTGCTTGTCAGTCAACGAGTGAGAGAACAAAATGGGCGGTGAGGTGGATGTGGTTAGAGGTGAAGGGGGAGATGATCCCATAGCTCTGCAGTACCGTAGTGTATAGTGTGTGTACATCAAACCTGCGCTCCTGCGAGCATGGAATGGGGAGGGCACAGGCTCAGGTCCCACCAAGGAGCAGCAACCAGCCCCTGACTCCAGCAAAGCGCCAGGTGCTAGGAAAGATGTGGTATGTAGAGAAGAGGCCAAATTCTCTTGTGAGTTTTACCTGAGCAGCACCGCCAGCTGAGGTGTAACAGATGTAAAGTGGCCCAGTGTGAACGTGGGTTTGAAGGCAGGAAAGCTTCTGCTGACAGCAAATTCATTATGGAGAATTTAAATTCATTATGGAGAATGAATACTAGAACCAAGTGAACTGAAAGCTGCTATCACACATGCATGCTCTGAAGCTCTATGTTCCACGTGTTGGTGAGACAATATAAGACATATTTATTAGCACAGCGGATGGAACGTTTTCTGGTTTGCCTTGAAATGGCATACTGAAATCTAATTTAAGATTTTTATGAATCAAGTATGAGAATGTGTCTGCCTGTGTCTTTTAATGCAGATTTTTCTATTATTTTCTCAGGTCACGTTGGTTAAAAAATGAAAATGTTCTCAATTCAATACTGCAGCAAACGAGTACAATTGCACACTGGGCTTTACGGGGGGATGTGGGACTGGGAACTGGCTGATAGTCTTCAAACAGAAATGTGGAGGGGGTTTACAAGCAGGAGACCTGTCCTCAGCAGACTTTGGGGTATGGAGGGGCGCAGTTAGGGACAGGTAGCCACAAACTCGTTACAAATACCAAAACAACTAAAAGCTTCCAAGTTCAACCACATCGTGTCATTCACAGTCACACCGAACAAAACAAGTACAGATGATTTAGCTAGTATAAAAAAAAAAGAGACTTTGGTGGGAGATTGCATGCCACATTTTTATAGCATCACTGCAGTCCTGAAGTCAGCCCTGTCCTTGTCCCACTGATATATATTTTAAAAAAATATTTCAGTACAGTCATGTTGTAAGCCACTTTTGTGAAGGCATTTTTTGTTTCCTTTCTACTTGGACGTGACATGAAGGTCATTTATTTTTAACATGTTTAAAAATTACCCATTTTACCTCTCCTTTTTTTTTTTTTTGTTTTTAAGAAATCATTTTCCTCCTTCTGAGAAAAATATGAGCTTATTTAAAAATCAAGATTATGAAAAGTGTATCAAATTTCACATTTACTACTCCAAAAAGGCAATTCAGTTTTCTCTCTCTAGGGTCTAGTCATATGGAAGCAAAATTCTTAGCAAAACTAAAGCTAACTCTGGAAACATTCAGCTCGAATTAGCTGCTACTGAAGTTGTACAAGTGGGGCCACATTTGCTTGGTCAGGAGGGCACAGCCTAGATTTGGGCTAAAGTCAGCATTAAAAATTCATATGGGCAAAAGCAGCAGACAAATAATACTTGAGTGTTTCCAAATTATGTGACCATTTGTCTCCTTTTATAGTCTCAAAGTTTAGCTTGTTGTTTTCTTGAATCTTTAACTGCCTGCATTACAACTTTCAGCAGATCCAGACGGTGACAAGAGTACGGCTTCAACGTTCCGATTCCCATTTCTTGCCCTCTTTCCCTTCTGTTATGGCTTTCTGGGAAATGCAGTGAGTGATGCACCAGCCCTGGAAACCATGTGTCATGTGATGACACTCGACTCTGTCCACACACGGGAACTTTCCAACTTTGTGCTGGAGAGTCTTTTCCTTGGGAGGGGTTTGAGTCCGAACAGGCGGCAGGCGGCCACGCGGTACTTCTTGGACATGATGTTGTAGAGGATGGGGTTGATGGCTGCACTAAGGTAGAAGAGGACAAAGGACACCAGGTTGCAGTACTGGCTGATCACTGCTATCTCCCAGGATCCAGCTTCAAAGGATTTGGAAAATAAATATCGTCCTACGTGAAAAGGCAACCAGCAGAGTATGAAAGCAAATACCACCACAACTAAAATAAAAACAGCAGAAGAAATTGTGTTAAGTGTGAGTATTAACAAACAGGTCATTAACATTCTCTTTTACAGTTCTATTCCTTTAGCAAATTAGTCACAAAGTGTGAAAATTCATCCCCTAAGGTTTTAGTTGTGTGTCTCTCAATACATTCTCTGGGAGTATAAATTAGTGATACTTAATACATATTGATCATATCTAAACAGGCTGCCTGAATATTGCCCAGGTCATCTGATGTAGCAAACTTCTGACCTGTAATACAGATGTTTGCATCAACAGAGAATTAAAGAATCCAAATGGTGACAACAAAAAGCTTAACAATCTATCATCCACAGTGTTTAACAAAAGCAAATGATATGTGACAGACTCAACACTGAGGTTTATAATGAGGAATGTAATCGCTGGGAAGCAAAATTATTTAAGGCAAAGCAAAATTGTTTAAGGCAAAGGCCTCAAAATAAAACAACCCACCAGAATGTGGACTTGTAGAGCACATGTGCTAAGGTAAGAACAAGAGAGTGGTGCACCCCTCCAGTTTGTACATTTTTTAGAACATGAGTTACTCCTGAGAAGAGTAAAACTAAATATATAGTATATAACTGCATAATCATAGTTATACAGTGTATCTGTAATATAACACTACCACTGTGGTTGCATTTACATGTAAATATAATGTCTGTAGAGTGATAGGAATGTGTGTATCTCTGAACAGTGGCCCATTTGAATTTTCATCCAAGAGAAAGGGAAACTTTTTCTGTTCATTTCCTGTGTGCCTTTGACCTTTATTATTTTTCATATTTCTTTGAGTGTATCTATTAATATACTAAAGAGATAAAAACCAGAAAACTCGGGCAAGGGTTTTTGACATTCTTAAGCAGTTTTTACAGTTAACCTGTTCATAGAGTCACAGAATGATTTGGGTTGGAGGAGACCTTAAAGATCATCTCATTCCAACCCCTTGCCATGGGCAGGGACACCTTCCACTAGACCAGGCTGCTCCAAGCCCTGTCCAACCTGGCCTTGTGTTCTCATGTTTCCCCAGCTCACTTGAGGACTTCAATCCATGTAATGAATGTTACTGTGATGGTCATTATGAAGAGTGTTTTAAGCACAGTCTATTACGAGTAGAATTTTAAGCACATGTAGGCTTGCCATATGCCTAGTCAGGATTTCACAGTTTGATCTTCATTCATGCAGAAAGAATCCCATGGATTTCAATAGGAATGGGATATGATAGCTCCTTTTCAAGCTGGGCTATACATTTAGGTGTTTAATTGAAGACCCACAAGCATAACCTTTCTGTACAGTTTAAAGAAGTGTTGATGCTAATCCCATTTACTTGATGTTCCATGACTTGCTAAAGGCTTAGAAAGTGCCTTCTAAATTTTAAGCAGAACATTAACACCAATGAGATTAGACTGCAATGAGCATCTGCTGCTACTGAGCCCTCACTAACTTCTTTCCATCAGGCATCAGACTGTTATCATTTAGGGAATATTGGCTCTCTGTCAGAGGACAGTCTTGCCACTGCTTGCTGTTCTCAGACCTTGTAAAAGGAAAAAAAAAAAGGTGATTGAAATATTGCAATGCTTGTGGCATTACATCGGGATAGGAATAAACAGTTGTAATTATTTCAAGATCTTTATGGTTAAGTATATGGAAATATAAACACTGTAGTAATATGTGTAATTTACTTATAGTAAGTGGAGATTCATAATCCCGAACCTCAGGAGTGTAAATGATTAATTACTTCCAAGGTCACGCTTAGCAGACTGAAGTAATTCTATTGATCATAAAATGTAGTTGAAAGAGCACAAAGAATGCTGTGGGATCTATTATTCTTCCTGCTATAGCATAGCAATAAATTAGGACGTGAACAGAAAATCAGTTAGGCTCCCGTTTGATAATTAAAGTCCTTAGGACTCACTGCCACCTCCTGTCTGGCTCATAAGCCCACCACTTCAACCCCACTGAAACCAGCCCAGCAGAGCTGCTGCCCATGAAACCTTCTTCCTGCAGAGCATCTCATCCCCCCTGAAATCCACGGGATGACTTGCACTGCAGAGGACTTTTGGCTTGAATAAAAGTATGCAGCAGCAGCAGGATTCTGCAGTTTTCAGAACAACTTTTTTGGTTTTGTTTATCAAACTCCCACCACATGCACTGACTTAGTATGTTAAAATTTGTGTTTCCATGTGCCAGCCAGAACTGTTGTTTAAAGCATTCAGCAATGTCAATATACAGAGTTAGGCATAACAGTGTCTGTTGTCGTGATCCTTTTTTAACAACTGTTTTTTTACAGTCAGTGAGATTTTACAGCACCACAGAGCTCAAAGGAGACACAAGGCTCCGGGTTCAGCACATCCTGGTGTTTTGCTAATGTAAAAATTTGGATTAATTTTCATAAGTTTATACAGCCATGGTAGAAAATAATCCCAATTTGCTAAAACCTTGATACTCTTCTCATATAAATCTTCAAGTGCACATCATGCCCTGCCTACTTAGTCTGCAGCTCAACTTCATGGTTTCAGAAGGGTTTAGTTCTGTTTAAAAATCAAATAAACTGTTCTTCTGTAAATAACATCGGTATCCACAACCAAAGAGCAAAAATTCTCAAAAATCTCCAGGGCACAAGCTAATTATAACTGTAGTATTTGTCCTTGTCAGGGATTGTTATTAACATTTGTTTAACTGTTTGGGAGTCCCCAGCTCAAATCAGTTAGAAATAAATCTAAGGGAGGGGGAGAGTTACTCTACGGATTCCTGGAGTTCTATCCCTTTGCATGAAACATTTTTCATAAATGCTTTCCTTTGGAAGCAACTATAGTAAACTACCAGAGAGCTCTCGGTCTTTCTCTCTTTCACACACACACCAGCACACACACCCTTTGGAAAAACAGAGCAAGAAGACTCGTACCTAACATTTTCACAGTTTGCTTGTTGTTCTTGTCCCTGATGACAGTGTTCAGACCGATGTTCTTTCTCTTCCTCCTCCAGAGCTTCCTCCCGATGAGGCTGTACAGCACGGTCAGGCAGAACACGGGCAGGAAAAAGAAGATGCTGGAGATCCAGACCATGATGGTGAGGAGCCCCGAGCGGATGGCGTACTCGGTGGCTCGACACTCGTTGGTGCTCAGGGGGTTCGTGCCGTTCTCGTGCTCGACCCCCACCAGGATGAAGATGGGTCCGGCGCTAATGAAGGAGACAGCCCAGAGGAAGAGGATGACCAGCTTGACCTTCCCCTTGGTGATGATGACTTTAGCTCGGAGGGGGAAGCAGATGGCGACGTACCGCTCCACGCTGAGCGCCGTGATGTTGAGGATGGTGGAGTAGGTGCAGCTCTCGCTGATGAACTGGAAGAGCTTGCAGAGGAGGTCCCCAAAGTTCCAGGGCCGGTACTGCCAGAGGCGGAAGAGGTCCAGGGGCATGCAGAGGAAGATGAGCAGGTCGGAGAAGGCCATGCTGGACAGGTAGAAGTTGGTGGTGGTCCTCATGTCCCGGAACCGCGACACCACCAGCATGGTCATGAGGTTGCCGACGATCCCGATGACGAAGAGCAGGACGCAGGCGATGGTGATGCCGGTGAGCACGGGCACGGGGAACAGGTGCTGCGGGGCCTCGGCGCCCGTCCGGTTCTCCGCGCCGCGGCCGCCCGCGCTCCCCTCCGGCATCCTGCCGCCGAGGGATGCGCATCCCCGCCCGGCGCGGCGCGGCCCGGCCCCGCGCGGTCCCCGCGCCGCTGCGCGCCCGAGCAGGTGCGGGGCCGGGGGCGGGGAGGGACGGGCGGCCCCGCTCCGCCTCTGCCGGGCACTGTCGCTCCCCCCGGCCCGGGGCGGGCGGGCGCTCGCCGCGCGTCACACGAGACGTGGGGCGGCCCCGCGACCCCCGGGCGGCCGCTCCACCCGCGCCGGTACCGGCATTTAAACTTTCTTCCCGAGCCCCCGGCGCGGGAGGACTCACCCGCCCCGGCGGGTCCGGCGCTCTCGGTCCGCCCCCGGTGCCTGCCCCGCCCGGGCAGGTGCGGGTTCCCTCCTGGTCCCGCCTGTCGGTGCTCTCGGAGAGGCGGGACCGTCCCTTGTCCGCCGTTCTCAGGGCTCTGTCCCCGCGCACGTCCCCCCGCGCCGCTCAGCCGCGCATTTCCTCAGCCGCGCATCCCCTCACCGCACATCCCAGCGGGACCGCGGCGATGGGTGCGATCGCTGCCTCCTCGCTCCGTATCTTTGCTCTGCCCTTGGGTCTTGGCAGGAGCCCGGCGAGGCTCCAGTTCAGTGAAGCTGCAGTAGTCACCCGCTTCCATATGATTTACCTGCAATTAAATTTCGATTCAGCGTGTGGCTGCTGCCCTTTGCAGACACAGACATCAGACACACCGTGTGTTTCCCCAGCTGCAGACTCAAAGGACAATGTTGTACCCAAAAGGAAGTAAAATGGAAGCAGTACAAGGTGAGATCGGGGCAGTAAAGCGACCCCCTGCACATCTGTATAGGGTGTATCTCTCCCCCTTTCCAACCTGTCCCCACAAATTGTCAGGGAGTCTGCACTGTGGCACAATCAATTTTCACTTCTGTCTATCCACAGGGGCTGTATTCCTCACACCCCATCTCTGAGGTGGCAACCAGTGCTCTGAATCCCTGTTGGTATCTAGACTGACCACAGAATCACAGAATGGTTTGGGTTGGAAGAGACCTTAAAGCTCGTCTCGTTCCAACCCCCTGCCATGGGCAGGGACACCTTCCACTAGACCAGGTTGCTCCAAGCCCCATCCAATTCAGCCAAGAAAGAGGTTTATGGTGTTTTTCCAGGTGCACTCACACACATGTGAACACCTCCTCTAGCATTCCTAGCTGCAGAGCTTTATTTAAGGGTAGACAGATCTCAAGTGTGCTGTGACACAACACGGAGTTACTCTGCCTGTGCCTCTGCACATGCCTGTTCTCTGTAATTTGCTTTCCATAATCGTGCAAGCATTAGCCTTAGTGCCTTGTCCATAGCCTAATTTAGATGATATATTTTTGCAGTTTCACTGGAATCAGTATTCATCATTACTGCTCTTAAACTGTGAGACAGTTTTGTAGCAAGTTACTCAACGGTTGCTAAATTTTATGAGGGATGGCTACAGATTAATTGCAGTTGAAAAGGAGAAAGAGCCTAATGTACTTCTCACTTTGTCTATCCAGCTGCCTATATAGTTGTGTTATATGTTTCTGAAAAAAAAATCATGGGCTTTATGCCACCAACATACAGTTAGTTCATATTAGAATTGTGTCCCCAATCTAATTTACATGACATTGCATTATATTATGGAGATAATGAGTACCTCTGTAGTTAGGATGCCAAATACTTTGCAATGTTATAAATAATTATTTCTCTTTTTCTTTTTTTTTTTTATTTCTTTTCCCTGACCAGTGGTTTCAGCTGCAGGATGTTCATATTTGCCAGAGCAAATGGCCTGATGCTATAAATGTGACTTTTCTATATAGAGACCATCCTTCGTTCTCATGAAATGCTTCCAGTTTTTGCTGAGCTGTATCTTGTCAAAAATGGTAATTTCCTTTTTTTTTTTTTTAGGAAAATCGTTTATTCCTTATTAAAAGGAATATGAACTATGGTGCATGTGTCAAAATCGAGTTCAAAAGTGAGGTAGCACCAGGTTTGTGTACTCCAGACAACTTGAGCTTGTAATGCAATGATTTAACACTTAATTCCTGGTGTGTTGAGTGATGAGCCACTTGGATAAGACCTGGCAGTTGTGTTTTGAATCCAGCAACATCGATTTCCTTCTTTTAAGGGTATCATGAGTCAAGGGCTTCTCTGGCTGCTTTTCCTGCATGGGGACAGTAGCAAAAAAAAAATGTCATCTGAGAGAGAAGAAAAGCAGCTTTAGTTTTCTGATTCTTTATGATTTCTTTGGCAATTGCAGGCCAAATTTGGATGAAATATAAAGAACTATCATCCCACAAACTTTCCATGATAATGGATTGCTGCCTCTGCTTTGCATATGCTAAAGGACAGTGGTGCAGACAGTGGTGATAGAAGAGGTAAGAGCTGTGAGAGAAGATGGCTTTAGGCTCCCAAAAATTGTCTGCTAGCCCTCAGCTGCAAGAACATCAGTTTTACGTTGCCAGCAAGATAAGAGTGAAGTCACTGGTCTTATTGGAATGAGAGAAATGGAGAGACAGAGGTAGAAGTTAAGTACTTTTTTATTCAGTTTTATCCACTAGCTGGATGTATGAACAAACCAGATATTAAAAAAATAATTTAAAAACCCATATTATACTGGACATTTACCTTTCATGGAACCTTAAAATATTGGCATTTCTCTTCAGTAGCTTCAAAGCTGTATTGAGTACTGGAGATGAGGTAGAAGGGAGTTTCTATTTATGGAGTTTTGAGGCCTCTCTCCTATGTTCCATTCTTTCCATTACCTCCCCATCCACTAAAGTTCTAATTCTTGTTTATATCATTGTTTGTTGTCATGGAAATGTCCGAAAGCTTTGAATATAGAATGATTATGTGTTCATTGTGGAGAGAAGAAGAAACTGGAAAACAGACTCCGAGGTAGAGATTCATTTTAAAATGATGCACGTTCAACAACTCCATAGAAGAGCAAATGCAGTTTTTTTATTATATCCAGGGACAAAGGGTGTTTTGCCTGCTATTATAATTGTGTTTTAGAACAGAAGGTAGCACCTGGTGTATGCTTTCAAAGGTTACGGTTTAGCAACCATCATCTGTGAGGAGCAGTGATGAAATAGTGGTAATCCAGCTTAATAATGTAAAACCCAGAATGGGTTCAAATTACTTTACAGTTGTTTATATGGCAGTATATATCTGCAAGCAGACTTCAAAACAGTGCTGGTTTATTATCAGCAAAGCTGTGCTCTCAGGTCACTAATTCAGAGGCAGCTGTTTTAGTCTCAGTTTTTTGCTGTGCTTCAGCTCACTGTGTCACCACGTCACACCCTGGGCATTCCTGTCCCTCTTTATTAGACTCATTCACCAACTGGAGAGAGAACAGGGTCCCTTGGTGTAGTGGTTCCAACTCCCCTGCCATAGGCAGGGACACCTTCCACTAGACCAGGTTGCTCCAAGCCCTGTCCAACCTGGCCTTGGACACTTCCAGGGATGGGGCAGCCACAGCTTCTCTGGGCACCCTGTGCCAGGGCCTCCCCACACTCACAGGGCAGAGTTGCTTCCCAATCTCTAATCTAACCCTGCCCTCTGTCAGTGTGAAGCCATTCTCCCTTGTCCTGTCACTACAAGCCTTTGTCCAAAGTCCCCCTTCAGCTTTCTTGTAGCCCACCATAGGCCCTGGAAGATGCTTTCGGGTCTCCCTGAGCCTTCTCTTCTCCAGGATGAACAAATATCTTCTACTGTAGTTTGGTATGGGTGAAGATCAGGTATTTCCCTACTAAATAAGAATTTCCAGTGCTTAAATAATTGCTAAAGCCCAGAAATATGAGAAGAACCTAAAGGGAAGTGCTCAAAATTTTGTACGCTCTGGTCACAAGATCATTTTCAGGGACTTCTTCAGCACACTGCTTCCAGATGTTGTTCACTAATTGAGGTCTGGAAGCCAGTTAGATGGGATTACACAACATGGCATTGCTCAATGGTTTGCAATTTTGTCCTTTGCATTGCAACCGTTTGTGGCATTTAATGGACTATATCTGATACCAATCAATGTCAGGGAAATTATTTACGACAGGGTTGTTGTGGAAGCCATAGGATAAGAAACACCAATAATCACTGCAAGACTAAATAACTATTTAGTAAAAACATTTTATATAAAAAGCATATAGAAAAATTTACAATATTCACACATTATAGGAACCCACATCCACAAATAAAAATTTGCTACATTTGCTATTCGACATAAAATGAGATGAAAGGTATGACTCAGGATATGATAGAAACAGAACTTACTATGTTTTTCCAAACTTCTTCAGACGTGTCTTGTCTTATGTTCCCTGATAAAGACCCATCGAGATAATATCAGTCAAGCATGGTTTTGGATTATTCAGAAATGATTATCTGTATTTCCTGTTGTGTTATGCTCTGCATGTAGAGACCACGAATATGTACATTTAGGTAACAAAGGAAGGTAAAGCAAGGGAGCATTCCCCCAGTGACAACGGGCATAGTGTTAATTCAGAGTTAAGGACAGTACATGGAGCAAGAAAATCTGTTTGTAATAGTTTGTCTTAGCATCAGCTGCAGGTTTGTGGAGTCCTCTATGGATTCCTTCCAGTCCCTCTTAGCAGCCATGACTCCACATTACACAAATTGGTTCTTAGACATGAGTAGGGTTTCTGACTCTAAGCTGCCACCAGTAAATCTGAAATACTTTTTCACAGTGCAAATAAATTTTCATTCAAATGAGTTCCTAAAAAAGCATTTCTTTAAAAAAAATTAAAAATTATTAATATAGCAAATTTCTAAAAAAACACCTCAAACCTGACAACGTGGGCCAGTCCGGTGCCGAGATTGGAAGGCTCTGTCCATTTGCAAGGAGAACTTACAAAAGTCATTTCTCCAAGACAGCAGACACACAGCTACGCAGGGAATGGCTCTGTTCTCCCAGCCTTTTCTGGCAGGCAGAAAATTCCTGAATTAAATACTGAAATCAGAAAGAAAACTGCAAAAATATTTTCTGTTCTCTGTCGAAACAGATGATTTCAGAAGGAGGCAAACCAAAGTGTTTCAGTAAATGGCGAAGAATTTCACATATTTGATTACCACTGAAAACAGTGTGTGAGACACTGTTAAACCAGCAGGTAAAAGTTACAACTCTTTATTTCAGGCTTATAGTGGTGTGTTTCTTTGCCCTAACCTGTCTAAAAGAGGGTATTCCTGAAATTCTCTCTCTTGCTGCTCCAACACAGGTATTTAAGTCAACCAAAACACCTTCTTTTCTGAATGGCAAAATAAATGCAGGGGCTCGTGTCTATTAATTTCCTCTTGTTGACTGAGTAGTAAGATGAAGGAGCATCTTTACTCGTGAGGCCCATGTGCAGGGGCTGCTCAGGGATTTAATTACCAGAACGTGCAGGCGAATGTGAGGGTTCCCACGGCAACCTTGGTGCATTGAAAACAGACAACCAGACTTCCTACTGGCATCACTCTGTTGATGTAAAGTAGTATTTGCAGAACTGTCTTCCTTTTCCTCCAATTTTATTTTTTTTCACTTTCACCTTCTCTTCCCCCCTTTTTTTCTCTGAATCTGGGCAAAATGTGTTCATGGTGCAAATCGCTGTCGCTCCACTGACAATGCTGCAGATACGCTGATTACACTAGTTATGCTGTGAATCCAGCCCCTAGAACTTGAACTTTCAAATCTTCTTAATATAAAATAGTTCTTCTTGAAGAGTTAAAAAACATAGTGGCCATTTTTAAAAAAAATTATTTAACAAAACTATGAAAAAATTTTACCCATTCCTAAAAAAAAAAAAATTCAAATCAAAGCATAACAGCATTACCTAAAAAAAGCAGCATTTGTTTAAGTATGGATAGTTGTGCCTGTTTTCCTAAAAATGTTAGTCATTGGGGTGTGTTATTCTGCATTACATCCTACCAAACAAGGCCAGTACAAATAAACATGGAAGAACCACGTCATCCTTAATTTGTGGCAAATTTCTCACAGAATTCAGTATTTACAAAAAACCCACTTTTTTTTCTGGATCGAGTACTTGCTGTTAACAAGTGTAACAGCAACTATCTTACTGAACTTACTGGAAGCCTGGTGAAATGTTTGCAGCACAGTAATTAAGTAAATAGGCACTGTTATAATACATTGATCAAAACACAGATTGATTTCAAAAGCTCTTCTGTGCCATTTCAGCAGCTGTTTTTATGTACAATATCGCAAATAAGACAAGACTAATGTGTTTACTCAAGACACGATCCTAAAAAAACCACTTAAGCAAATACTTAATTTCAAGCATGTGGATACCCGTAGTCAGGCTGTTCATGTGCTTAAAATTAATTAGGAGCTCAAGTGTTTTGTAAGATGAGATGAAGATGTGCAGCTTGATTTTCTGATGCGCCTTTTAACTTCTGTAAAACTTGTATTCAAACAAAAACTTGCAGAGAAATTCCACGGGCACTTGGGAAGCAGTACATACAAAGGCTCCTTACAGGAGCTGAGATATTCAAGACAGGGTCCCAATGGAGACCACAAGTAAAATTTGATATCCAGTCTCAGCCTTGAGCAAGCGGATCCAGAACATCCACCAGCTGGAGCATCTCTGCTGGTGGTGGGCGCTTACCTGCCTGGGGTTGTGGCCAAAGGTATCATCTGTGGGGTGTGAAGCCCTCTCACATCCCCAGCCTGGTGGGGCAGTGGTGCCTGTGCCTGCACAAATCAGTGCCACCCACAGCCAGCTGCTGCTGCTCTTCCCGGCTGGTGGGGGAAGAACTCGGCACGCTCGGACCTTGCGATGAGTGAGCTGAAAAAGGGGAGTCTGCTGCTGCTGGTATTGATACAGTTTTTGCTTATTATCCCCTATTTTACAGGAATTTTAAGCTGGTCCTGAATAGGAAAATTGGGTCCTTTGGAAGCATGATTTTCATCTTTTAGCCGATCATGAAGGCTCCAAAAAAACTTGCTTCTTTCTCCATGTCAACTAAGTCGCTGTTACTGACAGAGACAAAAATCCTGTCCTCTCTTTTCAGCTGAAACACGCCACCTTGGTAGGTGGAATAAAGTCCATACTCCGCCTTTTTAGACCAGCAGCTTGTTCTTGCACTTTTCATGAGCAAAATGGGCTCAGGGTAATTGGTCAGTCTGTAAATGTATTGGACAAGCTGTTTGGGGTTCCTGATTTGTCCCAGCGAATCTGAATCCTCGTTCTCGTTTTCACGGAAGCGAAAGTAAATTTGTGAGTAGATGTAATAAAGGCCCGTCTGGGGTATCACTAACTCGCCATTTCTCAGCTCCACATTGTAAAGGAAAGAGTGGGTCTTCCTCGACGATTCCCAGTTTATTTTATGACCGAACCCTTTTCTGGGCAAGAAATCTACTTGGGGAAAAAGGAAAAAGAGAGAAATGTTAACTTAAAAACTAGATAGTGAAGCCAGGTGTGTGCTGGTTGAGGATTATAACAGAGTAAGGAAATCTGCTCTTCGCAGTGGTTCATTACATCCATTCTCACAACAAACTGACGGTCCATAAGTGAGCTCTGAGATTTATGTAAGAATTAACATGAACTGCCTTTTTTTTTTTTTAATTTTTGTGCCCCCAAATAAGAGAAAAAAATGTTATTACTTAGTGACAAAGTTGAAATAGCCATTAGTGTCTGATACCCTCTGAAGCTGCAGAAACCCTACCAAATCCTTCATTAACATGGCCTGAATGTCATCTCTCCTGTCTGTGTTGCATTTCTAATAGGTCTGTCACCATAGCAGCTGGGACTCCAACTAACAGAAGGAAGTGGAATGAAAGAGAAAAACTTAATATTAGCAAGAAGGACATTTAATTTTTTTCCCCTAATGAAGGTTCCAAAAGAAAAATTAGGGAGGCACCCAGAGGAAACGGGCTCTCTCCCTGTTGATTGAGAATCAGCAGAAAAAAACAATGTCTGGGACAAGATGACCTTTTTATGATTTGTTTCCTACACTTAACTCAATACAAGTATTAAAAAGTGTATGTAAGCATGAGGCTAGCAATGGGAGAGTAATTTCTGTGTTCTTTAAGGTGTTTTAGAGGTTTTTCCTTACAGCGTGTGAACAGGGAACTCCTCCTGTTGTTGCTGCCCGTCAGATGAGCTGCGGCCCCGTGGATGGGACCACGTGGCTGCTGCCTGTCGGTGTGTGACAGTGCCAGAGTTCTTTCAGCTGAGGGAAGGCAAGAAAAGAAACCCCACATCAAAAGCAAGAACATTAGAAGCACATCTGTCCCACATGACTTGATTTTAAGGAACAGGTATGCCATTTTTTTAACTAACTAAATCACAGTGAATGCTATATATTGGCTAATAAGGCTCAAATTCCTCTTTTGCTCTTGCTCTCCTTGAAATGTCTTTATATGCCTCTTTGTTCTTCTTTTTCTCCTTCTCCCATCTTCAAGTTATCAAGGGACAACCCATAGTACTGTATTTTAGGGTTAATTATTCCTACCTTTCACTCTGAACTTCCACTTGTATGTTTTAATGCTTTTGCCCAGCATCTTTAGAGCTGTATGAGCTTCAGCAGAGCTATCCCTTAACTGATCTCTGCATCCAGCAGCTCTGTGCTGCTTGTTCCAGGAGCTGGGATACTGGGAAGACTATTTAAATGTCCCCACAACTCCATGGGACTGAGGCCTAGAGGCTGAGTCCTTTGTATCCACCTTGGTTACCTTGCTCTAACCACTTGACCATATTTTTGGCTCCTGAAAATTTACCTTCTAGACATAAGTAATCATTTTTTAATGACTTGATGCCAGTACAAGATTTTAGTCAGTTTCTGCACTTAAAAATAATTTGAGTTGCTACACATCAGGTACCACTAGCAGCTTCTTTTTGTCACAGATAATAAAATTATTATACCGTTGATTGCAGATATGTTTTCCTCGTAGCTTTTCGACATAATCTGCCAAAACACACACAAAAAAGAAATTAGTTTATCAGCTGAAGGTGACAGGTGCAGGATAAAGACACTCTTCTTATAAGCTCATGAATAAAGTGTATTCTCGATTTGATCAACAAGCAAACTAAGCAAAGCCTATTAATTTCTTGTAATAAAGCATTTCTACATTTACATCTTTTATGTAATGAAATAAATGGGAAAACATTTACAAGAGAGCTCAGGCATAAGTCTATTGGAAAATTTGACCTCTCAAACAAGAAATACTGTACGAGCACCAACTTCCATTTGGAGAACACTTGCAGTGTGCACTTTTGTGGGGTCTTAGCTGTGAGAAATTAAATTCATTTTTAAAGCTCTGCCCATCTATCTAAGCTGTTAGGCAGCACATCTTACTTTGTGCATTCCCCTCCTTTATAACTGTTTGCTGACTGCTGAAACAAACCAGCTTGGTTACAAATGGTGGTGGAGCTGCAGCAAATGTGGTGATGGTTGGAGATTATTTACCTGGGTGACTAACACAGGCCCTGTATTGCCACTTACTGATGGGTTCTGCCCTGCCTGATTTTGTTTATCTAACTATCCTATTATTATTACTATTATCATAATTATAATTGCAGTAATTTATTATCTCTGGCACCCAGGCTACCTTTTTTTTTTAAGCAATCAGGGAGCTAGTAGGTATATTAGATGTGTAAATGTCCACCAAATAAAACATTTTCTCTATGAAGAAGTTTAGGGACTTCACTGGCAGAACTTCCACCAAAGGAGCCAAGAACTCTGAACACAAACAGATCAGTTTTGGGCTGCAAGATTTGCCAGGTAAGTTTCAGCCAGAAGTGAAATTTTATGGATGAGCTTTATGTGCTGGAGATGGGATTTTGAAAACCATTCCAGAAGATTTTAGCCTTTCTGATTTTTACAGCCAGAATGATTTTCTTCTCTGTAGCCAAAAATTCTACATATTGTGTGCAAGTCATGCAGGAGATGCTCTCTGAATGCTGTGCTGGGAAGGTGCTGTGCCTGATGCTGTTGTGCTCACTTGCTCTTTCCCACTACATTACACAACTCATGACTAGACCATTCCTCAGGCACCTCTGTACCTCCCCCTGTGTTACATTTAATCTCATTTTCTCATCCCAATCTCCCTGTGTTTCCAAAAGGGCAGTGACAGCTCTGCTAGAATCATGATCTGTATGGTCAGGTTGAAAGCAAACTCAAGTCAAACACTTCCACCCTAATGTATTTCAGACAAGCCCATCTATCGCTGAAATCTGCTTAGTAAAAGCTGACTGTCTTTGCTTTATTATTTACTGAATGTAGTGAAACCACTGTTATGGGGTTTTTTTGTCTTCAGTGCAAGTGCTTTGCAGCTGAAGCTGTGGTCTGACTATTGCTTTGCAATAAAACAATCTGAGAGCCTCCTGTATTCTGCTATTAGGATTCTTTCAACTGTAATATCATCAAGCACAGTGTTCCCAAATACCTTTTTAATTAACTTTCCCAGGTGCCACTTCACTTGCCAGCAGGGATCAGCTTCTCTGTCTTCGCCTTCAATTTCATCCAAGTTTTGGATGGAATTTCCGATTTCCTCCCCGGTGAGACAAGCGATGCCGCTCTTGGAGTACGTGTCCTGGAGCTGCAGCAGAAGGGAAAGCCAGGATTTTTCACCCATGATGTGTCTGCAGATGTTCAGCTGTGGTATGTCACTATATTCACTATGCTTAGGAAGACACTTCCCTTTCTTTAAAGCATTTCCTAGTATGGTGCAAGTAGAACTATATAAACAACATGAGTAATTCATCCTGATTTGACATATTTAACTATGATGGCATAACATAAGCATATTTTTGTATATTAGGTATCTCCATGGGCATAAACTTGATATCCAGTACTCAATTAAACAGGCTTTGTGAAAATTCAATACCCAAATCCCTAACATTGTGAACTCTTTAGTTGCTCTAGTTCTGTATTAAAAACATTTTTTTTTGCACAAGGGATTTTTTTTCCCGCAAATTATTGAGGATGAAATCAAATACCAGACCTTAAAGGTATTTTCAATGCTGTCTTTTCAGCCAATGCCATTTATAATCCAGACCTTTGCTATTATATATCCATATCAAATCCTCCCCATATCCAGTCTGGGGTCTCTCCATAACTGCACTTGTCCTAATAGTCCAGGACAAAGTCCAGACAACTGAAATGACATTTGAGTCCAAATATAATTATAATGCTGGACACTCATGACATGGACCCATGTCTATATTGTCTAGTCATAGAGAAAACACGTTTATTTTCTGATAAAGAGAAATGAGTTTTTAACAGATTGGCAAAACTCTGCTTGGCTCCAAGGGGATCTGACTGGGAGAGCTGATACCCTAGTGGAAAGCTCTTCCCAAGCTCCCTGCGGATGCGACACACAGGACTCCAGCTGGCGCTGTTGGTTAATGTGGGAGCACAGAACCTGCGCTGGCTCCAGCATCCAGCCCCTGTTTCCCTGGAACTGGGCTCCTGCTGCATCAGCTAAGGACTGGTCAGGCTTCTTGAGCCAGCAAAGCACTACGGGGACTTTGGGAGAAACAGCAACAAACATGCAGAGCATTCAGCTGGAATTCTGGTCTGCTAGATGCATTTAAATTTCACTTTTGTTGTGTTAAAGAAGCCTGGTTTGGTTTGCTAAACAGATACATTTATTCTACAAGTTTCAGTTGTCCTTGAGACGGGGTATTGAAAGAAACAGATCTGAGTCACCTCCTCCTTCATACTCCACGCTTTTCCTGGCTGTTAGAAAACAAGGCATTTAGGAAGAGATTTTTCCCACTCCAGGAGGAGGAAGAGGAGAATTCACCTCCTTAAAGTCCCACTTTCAGTTTGCAGCAGCAGACTCCACTGAGCTTTAGCCTGTACTTGTATTTTGTAGGCAGCAGAAGGAAAAGGGGCCACCACTATGAGTGTTTGTGAAGGTTTCTGTGTCTTTGCCAAGGAGTATGGACGTTCTTAAATCAGGTTTCAAGATCTGAAAACCATTAATTTTATGTGCTCGTTAAGGTAAAGCTGCACTTAAAACTAAGGGCTCTGACAGATTTAACTATACAAGCTTCTATAACATAGTAGTTTGATGAGTACTTAAAAAAAGCAAAACGTAAGCAGTTGTGAAGTTTCTGTTTATTCTCTTGGCAGATCTGTTACAGCCCAGCTCTCGGCTTTGCCCTTCCATCTGGAAGCAAACAGTCCTGTGCTTCTGCCTCCTCCTTACCTGCTCACTTTTCCCCAAAACAACTTCACTATCCTGGCAGTGGAACAGTATCTTGCATGCAGTTTGAAATCCTCGTGGAATGCAACCTTGCAGCAGCACATTATTATTTCTGTTGTAAGACTTACTCAAATGAGGTTTAACTGTAGTACTGAAGCCTGTGAGAACTCAAGTCCTGCAGGAATCCTGTAAAGCCTCTCCTATGCTAGGAGTGGTTGGTAGACTGTTTTCGAAATAGAAGGAAGCCTGAGGATATTGTCCTTGCAGCCCTATATCCTGAAGCATAGTGAACTTTATTGTCTCAGCACTTCCTCCTAAAGCAAAACTGTTAAACAAATGGTCATACTCCTAGACCTACTCAGGCCACTACAGCTGTAGAGGAAAAACCCTCCTAGTTATTCAGCATGCTTTTTGCAAAGCTAGAAATTTCTGCAGTCTGTGCTGCCACAGTAATTTTGTGAAGGTGTAGCAATGCAGGTATTGTGAACAACAAAGGGAAGAAAAATGGGCAGACCGAAATCACAGCTTATCTTTTGAGATTTATTCCACGAGCACCACGTGGATGTGGGGTAGCAGACTGTGCTTACAGATAAGCTTTTTCCTTGTTTATTGTGCACCAAATGGCACATGCAGGAATGTGTGCTTAAGGTACCCCCTCCAGAGGCAGCAACCTTAGCTTTTAGTCCAGCAGAACTTTAGTGTGGACAGATTTAGCCCTGCACCCCAAATGCAGGCTTGTTATTCTTCAGAAGCACTGAGTTGTATTTTGGGCAAGTACCACAAGATGTGGTTGTGTCTCAGGTGTACATGTCTGAATAAAAGGAAAGGAAAGATAAGTGTGGTTACTAATTACTTAGATTAGCAAGCTTGTGAGCAAAGGACTCTGAACTGTATGCATGAAGGAATGAGGATACTTTTATATATTTTTCTTCATTAGCAGCATCATGTAGCCTGATTTCATAAAGTCAACACATTTCTGTGACTCCCCCATTTGACCAAACATGGGACAGTCACAGCAGTGAAATCTGTTTTATACATTTCCAAAGTATGAACACTGACTCATATGTACAATACTGCAAACCCTTTGCCTCACAGAGAACTCTGACATCTCAGAAGACTCTGTGTATTAAATTTGATGTGGAACAAATGCATGCATACCATACATTATTAATAATCATGTAATTATGCATTATTGAATGCACAGTAACTTACATTTCTGCAATACTTTCTGAAGTTGCATATGTACAGAACTGCTTACCTGCAGTTAGTTTTACCTTTGTGCCAGGAAGAGCAACATACTGATACAACTTACAGCAGGGCAGTAAATTTTGGGTAAGACACTAATGGAAATCCCGAGTACTAGTGGGTCCATGGAAAGAAGGGCCACACATATAAAGGCTCCTGGGACTATCAACTAAATGTAACTTTCTTGTTAAATGAGTGTAAGTGGTCTTTTGCAAGAAGAGTTAAGCAGCCAGAAGGAGAAAGAGCTAAGCAGCAGGGAGAGGAAAGAGTTAAGCAGCCGCTAGGAGGCCTGAGGGGTGGCTGCAAGAAGACCAAAACATCTAGACTATACAATTACTATTTTACAAGTTATTCTGGGGAATTCAGTGGTGTTTGCTGTCTGGTGCAGTTCCTTTGGCATTAGTCACTCCTTAGAACTATGTATTGTCCTACAGGATACGTCTAAAAGGCACCTCAGCTTTCCTCAGTCCTTTCCCCCGGTGCCCGTCCGACTGTCCAGCCCTCCCAGCGCTCCTGGCGCTCCTGCAGCGCCGGCGGGCAGCGCAAAACGATGAGACGGCGAATTTGCGCGCTAATGAAAAACACATTTGCCTCTTCGCTGAAAAAATGCATAACTTTGTTGTTTGTTGATTTGCTTTTTTTTTTTTTAAGGCAAGAAAACTTTGCAGCCGTTGTTGCTTTGAACTCCCTTCCCCGCGCACACCCACGGCGAGTCCAGACAAAGGAACGGGCGCGGGGAGCGGAGCTCTTTATCTGCGGGGAGCGGGGTGGGGGATAAACCCCGGCCCAGGGGGGGCTCAGCCCCGGCCCAGGGGGGGCTCAGGCCACGGGGGGCTCAGCCCCCGGCCGCGGATGCCGCTCGCATCGCCCACCGCCCACGCGAGCCCGCGGCCCCCCGGGGGTCGGTCCGTCCTGCGGGGACAGAAGGCGGAGCGCGGGGTCCCCCCCGCCGCCGTCCCCCCGCACCGACCTGTTTGAGCTCGCTGGTGAAGTAGAGGAAGGTGACGGCCACGCAGACGGACTGCAGGAGCACGGCGGCCACCACCACGGCCCCGCAGGTCTGCGCGGGGCTGGGCCCGCCCGGCGCCAGCATCGCGGGGCTCGCTCGGGACGGGGGAGCGGGGCCGGGCCGGGCTGGGGGCTCGAGGCTCACGCCGCTGTCCCGGGATGGAGTGCAGCCCCCGGCAGTGCCCGGTGCTCATCCCGCCCCGCCGGGGGATGGACGGGGCGGAGCGGGGCGGGCGGGACCCTCCCTCCCATCCCCGGCTTCCCTCCGCCCCGCCGGGACGGGCGGGTGCGGGCGCTTCTCTGTCGCCCCGAAGTGCGGGGTCATTGCTAAGATGTGGGAGGGTCATTGCAGAGCCGTCGCGCTGCAGAGCATTTCTGAGCGCTCACCACCAGGGAATGATGGAAACCGGATTTTTTTTGAGACATTAAGGCTCTTGGTTAAGAGCACAGAGAGGCCCAGAGTTTCCCCACTCCAAGCTGTGTTATGGGATCATCGAATCACAGATTGGTTTGGGTTGGAAGGGACTTTAAAGGTCATCTCGTTCCAACCCTCCGTGCCATGGGCAGGGACCCCTTCTGCTACCCCAGGTTGCTCCAAGCCCCATCCAACCTGGCCTTGAACACTTCCAGAGATGGGGCAGCCACAGCTTCGCTGGGCAACCTGTGCCAGGGCCTCATCACCCTAATTGTAAAAAACTTCTCCTCATTGTAAATAACTTTCTTATATCTAACCTTAATCGACTGCTTCAGTTTAAAATCATTATCCCTTGCCCTATGGCAACAGGGCCTGCTAAAAAGTCTGTCCCCATATTTGTTATAAACCGCCCTCAAGTTCTGAAAGGCTACATTCAGGTCTCCTTCAGAACCTTCTCCAGCTGAACAACCCCACTTCTCTCAGCCTTTCTCCATAGAAGAGGTGCTCCGGTCCTTTGAGCATCTTCTGGACTTGCTCCTTGTCCTTTGTGTGCTGTCCTTATCCATGTCCTGTCCTTTGCAACTTCTCCTGTGGAGCTGGTACATCACAGAAAGGTGCCTGGGAGCTGATAACCTGTAATGGTGAGCCAATAACCTGTACCTGTGCCACGAGCTCCAGCCCATCGCTTCTGCTCCCCAGTCATGACATGCCTGATGTCACAGAACATGGATGCCAGGTACATTTTGGACTTTCTTTATCTGAAGGCACTTTGGGGTTTGGTTGGTTTTTCAAACCTCTAAGACTTCTTCTTGCAAGCTTTTCTCCAAACTGTTATACCCAGATAGCAGTTTTGCAAAGGCAGGTCCATGCTTTAGAGTGTGTCCTCTGACTTTCAATGAGGTTTTGACACCTTCACCTCACACAGACTGGATTATAAGCAACTCCATAATTATCTGCTGATGCTTTTAAATCAGCACAGGTAGCACCAGTATGGTCTGCTGACAGTGCAGCCATGGAAAACTGGGATCCAAGTGCAGAGATTTGAGTTAGTTCACTTTCATGATGTTGCTGCAGGACAGGATGAAATCTTGACTCCTGCTCAACATCCAAACCCGACTGCCAGGATGCAGGTGGGAGTTGTCAGTATAATTACAGGGAAAAATTAAAATCAAGATCTCTTCATCTCTCCTGACTATTGAGATCATCTTTAGAAGGCGTAACTGCATTCTAGTCAACCATTTACAGGAAAATTAATAGTTTTTTCTTCCATCATAGTGTAGCAAAATAATCCCTGAATCCCTGTTCAACGTGGCAGCAGGCAGTTTATTTTTCTGGCTCTTTGAGGCAGTCGATCTGTGTGCCAAAACAGTTCAGATCTGTGTGATTCCAATGCTTATGTCAGACGGAGAAGATTAACGTTTTCTCAAAAGTGAGCTCATGATCCCCTCCTATGACTTCTCAGCAAAGTCAGCGTGACATTTTGGGTTCCTTCTGCTTCACAGTATCACGGCCCCTTTCTGAGCAGGGCTCTGTTCACTCTTACTTAATGCAAAGTAGGTCTCTGCATCAGCTCCAGAACAGGAGTCTCTTACAGATTTTTAGCACATGCACAAACAGAATCTTACCAAAAAAACCCAAAAAGCAAAAAAAAAAAACCCCAAGCAAAAACCAACACCCTGCCTCTTACTTTGTTTATCATGGTTCATAAATTTCTAAGAAAGAAATTTCATCTGAGGGAGCCATGCAAAGAGTTAATTAAAAGGCGGCAAACTAACTTGACTGAAGACTCCTGCTGCTGAAGCAAGTTTGTGCAGATATTCTTTCTAGATGTTTAGGGAAGTCCTACCTCATTTGAAGGAGAATAGAAACAAAAGTGAAAGGGAGTTAGGGCACTACTGAGCACTCTTGTTGCTCACAGTTAGGGGTTGGTCTTTATTCTGTGTTTTTCCAACCTCTTCGTGAATTTGTCCCCACCCTACAATTTGTAACAGAACTATTTTGTGGGTAAACGTACCAATTCTTGAATGGTTTTTTCAAGAGCCATATACTCTGCTTGGAGCTCCCTACCAGACATGGTCTGTGTTCCCCCAGCCCATCATTTTAAATCCTCCACAGATGTTTCTCATGTCTCTGATTTAATACTTGGTGTGTTAATGCCAGTATTGTAAGGCAAAATTAATGAAGTGTGATTTGAAAAGAACAATGTTATAAAGAACAAAACACACTTAAATTCATCTCTTCAAAAAGTATTGCTTTACTATCTTTCTGAAGTTTTAAGATCTGAAAATTTTATTGCACAATTATAAAATATTTATGGGTTTTCACACTGACACAGACTCTGAGAGTAAATATCCAAACATTTCCCCCATTGAATGCACTTGAAAATCTTTGTTACTGTCAATGCTCACTTTTCCACAATCAATTTTTGTCTCTAGCAAGTGTAAACTTATACTGAAAATAATATGTTCTAAAGTTTCAAGAGTTTAAAATTAGTGCTGTGATGAAATTTTACTGCAGTAAAGCTGGGATTATGACACCAGTGGGAAGGAATGGTGTTAGTGCGTGTTTAAACAGAACCAAGTCCTGGATGTTTGTGTAGTGCTAGACCAAGGCAGCTCCCCACAAAAACCTCTCATTCTTACTGGCTCCTTCATCCTATTATAGCTTACTCAGTGAACCATTTAATTGGAGATAAACCTTAATCTGTCCTGTGGATTTAGGATGTGTCACTTGGCATGACAAGGAAACGCCTGGCAGGGGACCCGCCACACTTGTCCCCCAGCAGTGTGACTAGTTAGGAATCTGTAATGGCTCTGAAAATGTGTAAGAATGAAGGGAAGAGTGTCTTGTTAAGGTTTTTAGTTCTAATTCCTTACCTATTGCAGTGATGTGGGAGATGAAGATGATTTCAGAGGAGGACAGGGGTTGACACGTGTTTTTGTATGTCCTTCTCCTGGTGACTCACATGGCTTTTGTTACCACTGCCATCACTCCCTGCCAGCACTGGCACTGCAGGGCTGGGCTTGTTTTCCATGTAAGAGAAAGCAGAATTGACTTTCTGGTAAGCAGCAGTTCTCAAGATAGATTTCTCTGCTGAGTAGCAAAGGTCATGTTTTTCATCACAGGTATCATGGCATGTAATTGCAGAGGTGTAATTGTGCAGAGGGCATGTAGCTGTTCCAGAGAGGAGAGCAGCCCTGTGGCTGTGCTTTCCAGGTGTAGTTTTCCACCCTCTTGGAGCATGGCTCTGACTGAGCTTTTTGTCACCAAAGATGCTATGATCACTTAAATGTTCCTTCACAATCTAACACCTGTCTTAGGTACCAGACTCCCACTAGAAGACACTTGAATGCTGTTGGTTTGGGCTTTGCTACTCCAGCTGATTAATTGACTGGGAGAGCACAGTAAGCGATTGCTGTGTCCTCTCCCCTTCCTGAAGGGAAAGGGAAGTCCCTGCCCACCTCTGCAGCCTCCCAGTAAATCTGTGGGACACTGCCATTCTCTGCTTCAGGAGGTGGGTCATGAACAGCCTCATCCTGCCAAGCCTCCCGAGGCACAAGAAGCCTCCACCCAGCACAGAGTTAACTTTGCACTGTGGTCCTCATCCCTGCACATGTGCTGGACAGATCACATTTTGGCTGCTAGGGATTGTTCATTCCTTTGTGGTCCATGGGCCAGATTCTGACGTTATGTTTTGCTGTCAGTTGCAACCATCTCGTATCCATGAGTTTGTTGTGATTTATGCTGTCATGGGATCAGGATGAGGATCTATTTGTCAGTGCAATACCCTTTTGGCCTATGGTGTTACATAAACAACAGCAACGGTCTGCCTGGCCCAAGACACACCTATGAAATAATTTATTCAGACCTAATGCCCGAAATTCAAGCAGTGGATTTGATAAATAGAGCTGGGAATATATATGCCTGTGCATGCCACACTCATGTCCAATAATGCTGTAGCAATAGCGCTCCAGATCTAACTTTGGATCTCTCATTTTTACTAAAAAAGTGCTTAACAATTTGCCTGTTAATATGGCTCTTGTATGATTGATGAAGTGCTGCATATTTCAGTCTACATACTAATTATTTTAAGAGACAAAGGTTTTTCTGCTGTTTCTTTTATGCTTATTGAAAGACTTCATGGCAGTAGCTAGAAAGACTCATCTGCTTGGTCTTTCATGCTGTGTGATTAGTATAAAAAACAGGGAATAACAAGAAGAGAATATGGCCACAGATATTGTAGCTATTTAGCCCTGAGTGAGGGACATGAGAGGACTTTCTGGGAGTGGGGTGTAACGACTGTCACTCAGGAAACACTCTTAAATCCTTCAGTTTGGTGGTACCTGCACCATCTTGAATGTGTTTCTTTTCAGATTAACAGCTGGGAATTCAGGGGGGGGTCTGAGAGAGCTCAGGGAGTAGCCAGGTTAGTCAGGGTTAGCCACACTGTCCAGAGGTTAGTAAGCAAGAAACATGTGAGAGTAAAGTCCATGCAGGACTGGAAGAACTTGAATTACTTATGCAGATTGCTGGGTTATCAGTTAGTTGAAGCAAAGCTGAAAGGAAACCTTGGCGAATATGTGAGTCATATCACGGTGGTAATCAAAAATACACGTGCTTTATGTTATAGAAGGTATTGCATGAATGTCATGCAAACGTTATATAGTGTATATTGTATATTGCATATTGTCA